TGGCTCTTCTTCTTTCTTAGGGGAATAGCCCTAGAACATGCTTCGGCTAGCCAGGAAGTTGATCCTTCAAGGCACTGGTTGGATCCATGTCATTTAAGACATCTTTCCCAACATGTTTCGTTTAGGACATGGTTTATCCTGGTCCCAGTTGATCTAACTTGTTTGTTGAAATTGTATATTGTGAAGACACCCCTTCACAGGTACAATGCCATTCTGCTGTTCAGGACCCCTATGCATGTACGTCTGGACTTTGATTAGATTGTGATCGGAATTAGTTGTTTTTGATATTCTTATGTCCTTTTATCAGGTCCTCAATTATTTGTGAAGATAAGGTCAAGTGTGGGTTTCTAGTCTTGTTTTGGCTCCACTACTTCTGGCTTAAGGTGTGTTTTTCACCAGAGACTTAGTACTCATGTGTGTTGACCTTTCATCGCGCTACCTCCGGGGATTGTTTCAGCTATAACATTATTTGCTACATTCTTCCATTTTGTATGCCTTAGGTTGAAATCACCAAGCAGTAAGATGTTTGGGGATGGAGCTGGAAGGTTTTCCAAACAGTAATCGATTTTCAGTAGCTGTTCCTTGAACTGTTGTGAGGTTGCATCTGGTGGCTTGTATACAACCACAGTGACTAGGTTTTGGTTCTCGATCTTTAATGATAGAACTTCAACTACCTCATTTGTGGTGTTCAGCAACTCCGTGCAGATAAGGGTAGTGGTGGAAGTCTCTCTATGTAAAGAATTTGAAATTTTCTTACGTGTTTTGTGTTCAGACTATTTTATTTCTGGGTGAAATGGCTTATTGCCAACAAGTATGAAGCTAAAGATAAGTTGCAGAACATATTATTGGGACAACGTTTAGCTCTGTGTAGAGATTTTTATAATCCTTACTGGCAAAAATTCTACACGTCGAAACTCTACCCCAGGTTTGTTCTGCATCTTGTATTTGCTGTTAGCATTTTCGTTAGGATGGCACAGAATGCTATCTTCCATGTCCTGTTTCTCCTCCTCCCGCTGAAGACGTTATCAGTTTCCCCTCGAAATAACCATGTCGTTGGATAGTGAAACGTGAACTTGTTGAAGTTCTCAACCTTTCATGGAGTCGTAACCAATAGGATGGGCTTATCTATTATACCTACCATTGGAATAAAATTATGCTTCATGACAGTAAATTATTTTTTTTATAATGCCTTCATGGGCTGTATTGCTGGCATATTTACTTAAAATTGACTTAGCCATTGAACAGGGTTGGAAAACATAATCCTGTGTGGGCTGCCATAGGGGCTATATGTAATAACTGCAGACACAATATGTACTTACCCTGGAACTTTGGTATGAGAATAGAGGTGCTACCTGAAGGACGTTTCCGGGGGTCATCGCCCCCGTGGCCTGGTTCTAGATCAGTCCTGGAGGATCAAGCCCTGATCAACAAGTCTTACTGCTTGGCCGCATGCAGTCCAACGTACGAACCAAAGCCCGGCTGGTCAAGCACTATTTTAGGAACTTGTCCGGTTCCCTCTTGAAGACCTTCAGAGGCTTGTTGGTAGTTTCTTTTATGCACGGAAGGAGGGCATTGAAGAGTCGGGGACCTCTGACACTCATCGAAGTTCTCTCTTAGTTTACTCGTCGCGCCCCAGTGTTTGGTAGAGGTATTTTGCGTCATCTGCCAATTCTCTTGTCATATGGAGTAATTTCTAAGTTCAGGTTTAAACCAGTCCCTCCAGGATTTCCAGGTAATAAGTATTATATATTTCAAGGAATGCAGTTGAAGAAACTCCAGGCATTTCCAGTAGCTCAGATGCTTGATTGAGTGCGTATGAATAGTGAAGGTTCTCTGTACGTTTTTCAGCTCAGTCTCGCCTGCCTTGAAGGTAGCCGTCAGAATGTATCAGTATTCCAGCCTTGAGAGAACAAGCAACTTAGAGTATCATCACTGGTTCAGCGTCTCATGCCTTGAAAGTTCTAGTTATCCAGCCTATCATTTTCCTTGCGATAACATTGGTAACATTGTTGCGATGCTTGAATGTGAGATCTTTCAATATCATTACCCCTAAGTCTCGCACATGGGACTTTCGTTCTATTGAGCGATTTGAGTTTTCCCTTACTCCGTTACAGTCTTTATTTCCTTCGTTCTTTCATAGTAAAACGATCGAAACTTATCCTCGTAAAACATCACATTGTTGTCTGAGGCCCACTGGAAGACTTGAAGATTCGCCGTCTTCGACAGATCTCTCACAGAGATTCTAGTGTCATCTGCACAGGATGTTACGATGCTGTGATTTATTTTCTTGTCAGTGTCGAATATAAAATATTGGAATATTGTGCAGTGGACAGTTAATAGAATATAGTTGCTGGGGAATAAGGAAGGGGGACAGTCAGAATAGAGGTGTTGCATTAAGGAAGAAGGGGGGGGGGAATAGTTTCAGCAAAAATAAAATGAGAGTTTAGGAAAGCAAAAATAATTCAATTCAGGGAAATTTCACTAAAATAATACAGACCTGGAAAGTTTCATTCAGATATTGCAGTAAAGATGTTTTCCGCACTGGTTTAAAAAAAGGTTCATTAATGCAAGGTGTCCTTTCTCCAAGCTCGCCAGTGTCGACCCACGCCACGTACCCCATCCCCCTTAAAAAAAATTAAAGCTAACAGACTCCACCTGTAAACACTAGACATCAACGGTTATGAAGAGGGAAACCAGCGCAAATATGGGAGGGAGTAGCGCGTGATGACTAGCAGGAAACTGGTGAAGAGAGTACTGGGATCAAGAAGAGAGGGAGGGAAATTGTAAGGTAATGTTTAGTGTCGGGAAAAAGTAAAGTGACTGTTTAAAATGTGGAGTTGTGTTATATGTGTTGTAGCAGAGAATAGGGCGGCAGATGGGAAAGAACGAAAATGTAAGGGCTATACGGCCTGGTTGACCAGCCAAACTCTAGTAGGCGGAGGACTGCCCATGGCCGGATTCCGGGAGTAAAAAACTGCGGAACTCATCAAGGGTACATATAAGTACGGCGGGAGTTCACGTAAAATACAAGGATTAATTAAATCAGGATTACAAAACGAAAACCTGGGAAATGGGAAGTAAAATCACATTTGATCCAAGGAAGGTGGAAGATAGGTCACTAATTCTCTGATATGATCCACTGTACTGGTATCACCATGTTATACCAACCTCGCCTCGAAGGATAAAACTCCAAGGGTTTATTACGACAGTAATATGAACAGTTCTCAAGACCATATTGTTTGTAAGATCGTTTTTTTATAAGTTATTAAGCTTTTGTGAGCCATTCAGGTTCAATGCGTAGGGCTTACTCCGTTTCGGTATCGCGGCCTGGTTCCTAGTGGGTCAGACTTTGGCAAAGGAAAGCAGTTGGCATCGTAACAGAACGTGGTTGAGAAAAGTGAACGCGTTAGCAAGCGGAGGATATCACGTTTGGAACACAGAAATACAAACAGGATACTATCTGGGTGGAAAGATGTGAACCGAAAAAAAATAGGCGTGAACAAGAATTGGTGTTTACGAAGTAAATGGGATACAGGGAGGGTGTGTGAGGGCAGGAGTGCAGTAGTGTAAGACTGTTGTTGTCCATGCGTATTGTGTGAGAGCATGTGGAGTGTGTTGGTGTGTCATTGTTGGAGAGAACAGTGTGAGTGAGTGTGGTGGTGGTGTCAGTATTGGAGAGAACAGTGCAAGGGAGTTGTGCGTGTGGGGGGGGGGGTTTATGTCAGTGTTGGAGAGAATAGTGTAAAGATTCCTATACTATTCAAACATTTTATCAGAAAGATAACAGAAACAAACGGCTGGAACAAGTGTAGAAGCCTTCAAGAGGAAACTGGACAAGTATCTTCACCAGGTGCCAGATCAACCAGGCTGTGGTGGATATGTGGGGCAGCGGGCCTCCAGCAGCAGGAAGCAGCAGTCTGGTTGACCAGGCAAGCACCAGACGAGCCTGACCTATGATCGGGCTCCGAGAGTAGTTAAATTCTTGAAACTCTTCAAAGGTATAAAGGTATATCAAAGGAGTGTGTGGTGGTGTCAGTGGAGAGGACTGTGTGTATTGTAGTGTAGTGTACCAGTGTTCATGAGTGGTGTGAGTGGCAGGAGGGGGGGGTTGCCAGTAGCAGCAGGAACACACCTATCAGCATATTGTACTAGTATGTAACATGAATGATCCTGAATTTTTGAATATTGCATCCTTAAATACACGAATATTGCTGAGGCTGCTCGGGAAAAGGAAGGAAAAAATAACTGTAAAACATGTGGGCTCAGGCGGAAAGTTGGAGTGAGTTAGCGGAAGTAGCAATAGTGCTGCGTCTGCATGGAACTCTCAACCAATAGAGAAAATCGGGGAAGGATGAAAGCGAATTAATGGCTGGTAGAAATTGGTCCTGAACGAGATGGAACAACTAAACGAATAGCAAGATATCAGTGGGAGAGAGAGAAGGACGAGGGTAGAAATTTTCAGTAGGAAACAATTAAAATCTCCTACAAGTACCTAATCAGCCTGTTTGTGAGGGCTGTGGAGGTGTCCGGGTTACTGCAACAACAGCATAGTTTGAACCAGTGCTGCACTGGGAAGCCTGGCCCTCACGGCCCTCTTGCGAGGGTAGAAGAACCTTTGAAACCGGTCACAGGTAAGTCATGCAACGGTAGTAAAGGCACCAAAACCTGCTGAAGAGCAGATATCTGCAGTATAAATATCCTGTAGAGTGCAGGAGTTAGGGGTGGTAAAAGTGCAAATTTTTGCGGCTCACTATGGGTGTTACTTGCATGGGGATAGATGGCTGAAAACTAGTGGTGATAGTATTCTTAATTTACACAGTGCCTTTCCTGTAATTTTACCTGTAATAATAATAAGTGACAGGAAATATGTAAATCATTCTAGTTACAATTAATTGACAAAATGTCATTGTGGAATGGAATAAAGGTCGCGGATCAGAAATTGTGGGAGTGTGCGGGACATTGGTGGACGAGTGTTTCAGTGAGTTTCTATTCATTTCCAGATTGTAGCGCGATCTCTTCCACCTCAGAGCCCCAGCGGGCCTGGCCTAAAGGTTGGTTCCTCAGGGATGTATATTGCATCATTTCTGTGTTCAGTGAAGGTCTAAGTTTTTTTTTACCCCTTGGATTTTCTTTACTATGTAATTTTTTTTTTCCGTGCTGACGCCTTAGTATTCGGTGATGTGTTAAATTTTGAAGGGAGGTATGGCTTTGTTTTTTTTCCTTAGGATTTGTTGATTCATGGTTTTTCTTATATAATGTTATTGGATGCTTTTTATATTTATGAAGGATAATGGCTTGCCTTTTTTTTTATCAAATTTCTTTGACTAGATTACTTTTTCTTTCCTAGCGATTATATAATGACTATTGTTTTATTACAGTAGTGAATAAGTAAGTTTTATTTGAGGTTGCTTGACACCAGTGTACGCCGTATTCGCTATGTTGCTTTTAGATGACTTTAATATTAAATTAATTCAGTAGTACATGAATGTTATACAATACAGACAAGATGAAGAATTAGACATATGTGCAACACCTAGGTATCTTTATTTGTAAATGTTTCGCCATCCAGTAGCTTTATCAGTACAGTACAAGGACATTATGTGAAGAATTTAGGACTGTTTATAAATGAGGAAATCAGTCCCTCAGCCTTGCAGTTGGTGGAGAGCATCGTAGTCTTTAAGACTGCGGTGCTATTCAGCTCCAAGGCTGAGGGACTGATTACCTCATCTTTTGTATATAGTTCTACTTTCTTCACATTTTGTCCATGTATTTATAGTCACTGGATGGCGAAACGTCTACAAATAAAGATACCTAGGTGTTGCACACGAGTCTAATTCTTCATAATTCAGTAGTATGAATTGTTTTATCTATGATTGCTTACCTTCCTTTTAGGATGGCTGCTTTTAATCTTAGACGTTATTGTATGCCTAAATCTTAGAATAACAAATTATTTTTTTCCAGGAAGTATAATGTTGTTAGTAATATTTTGCAAAAATAAAACTGTGTATTTAAAATTTAGTTCTCTTCTAATTTAGGTGCTTCTGAATTAAACTGTGAATAATCTTTTTAATATGTGGTATTTTAATGTTTGTCGTATACATTTTTGAAATGCCAAAATATTCAGGATGGATAGCACCATTGCTTTGTGATTATAGATTTGTATCTTAAAATTATTCTTATTGCTTCCAAACTTGGTATTAAAAAAATATCCTCGCAGAAGCAGGCGGGTATATACAAAGACAGATCGCAGTCAGCAGGATTCGATCCCACTTACGTAGGGAAGGGCGAGGTTCCCAAGTGACACTCTTATCCACTCGGCCACAGATGCCTCAAAATTGGGAAGCCTGGTTCACAAGCCATGTTTCTTCCCAGCCCGAGCACATCAGTGAGCCTCAAGCATGGATTCAAGCTATTTCAATCTCATCCTGTATGTTTTGGCCTCACAAGCTATTTTTTTTATATCAGTGCCTCCTTCGATGAATACACTGAAATACCAAGAGATTACAAACCCCTAGCTGCCTTAAAGAGGGAACTCGAGATTTTCCTCAAAGCAGTTTCTGATCAGCCGCGTTGTGGTGCATACGTTGAACTGCTGGCGGCCGGCACTGGGAACGTTGATCGATCAGTCCAGCAGCCAGGAGCCCTGGTCTGAAGCGACCCCAGGTAAACTAGGCAATCCCTCGTTAGTTTTTTTTTTTTTTGTCATTCCAGTTTTAGTTACTATCTCACGGCTCGCTCTCTGAGCACTAAGCACTTTTTTTCTAAATGGTAATCAAATCATGTGTTAACATATAATGGCCTGCTGGCTGAAGGTAGCAAAAACCTGGCTGATGAGGCTGTCATCTGGAAAGTCTAGCTTCAGGCCGAACTGACCGAGCAGAAAATCTCTTCGAAGCCAGTTACAGGTATGTCATTTGTGTTTCATCTGTTACCTGTTCGTGTTCTCTCCTCACTGACACACCTCACCCTCACCTCATCCAGTTACGTCCCCTGCATACGCCTCATCCAATCCCACATCAAAAGGAGTCCCACAACATTCCACCATACTACACTCTTTGTCCCACTACACACCACCACACTACACACCACCACACTACACACCACCACACTACACACCACCACACTTCACCCCAACACAACCCCACCCCGCCACACACTGTCCCACCATACCCACACCTCTCATCAATTCTATCTCTCCTTCATTTACTTTTCATGTCATCTCTCTCTCCGTTCTGCTGTTTGTAGTTTCATTACTTCACCATCTGGGCCATGTCAACTCTAGTTCGTGCCTTTGTTCCCTCTCTCTTTAATTAAGTTCCTTTCTCTTTTTCTCTGTCACCACTTGTTTGGAACTCGCCATTTTTCTGTTCTGTCCCTCTCAATTGGTTTTGTAGAACTCTTCGTTACTGATGACGTGAATATGTTGACAATTGATTTAGTGGATCATGTTCTCCACTTCGTATTTTTTGTTCACATGGCATATTAATATTTGACGTCACTCCCTGCTCCCCCCTATCCTCTCTCTCTCCCATCCTCATAAAAGCGAATGCAGGATGCAAAACGCAGTCAGTACTTGTCATATCTCAGAAAAAAAGAGTAAAGATCTCGGAGTATTAATTTCAGGCGCCCTAACGACTAAAGCACAACAGTGCAGATACAGTGAAAGCCAGAGATTGGTTGAATCATAATAATTCTCAAATGGAGCAGTGCCATAGCAGCCTCAGCTCTCTCGTCCAAGATGCTTACTGATATGCGCTAATATTTCAGTTACAGGTCTCTCTCTCTCAGTGCTACTTACACAGATACTTTAATGATGCAGTGAGGTTTTCGTTACCATTTAGAGGGAGGGAATTTGACTCGCTCTAACTCTCTACGAGTTTATTTTCCTCTTCAGCATACTAATGATCATACCTCTTTGCTTTTGTCTCTTATTTAATTCTTCAGTCTTCCACCCATCGGTCATTTTTCCTTGAATCATGTTCATTTTACTTCGTTTCTTCATCTCATTCATCACTAGTTTATGGTTTCCTCCCTCCGCGTATGCATCACCTCTGTTTCACCCCCTCTTCAATGCCTCTTAACTTTTCCATTATATTTCTTATCTTTTCTCTCGTCACCTTGTTTCTTTATTGCCCTTTCTTACTTGATTTTATATCCTTTACTTTCGTTTGTCTTTTTGTCATTTCATTATTTTTTTTCAGTTCTCACCTGCATTTTTGTTTCTTCATTTGTCGTCTCCTTCTTGTTCCTCCACTTCTTCCTCGTGTTTTCTCTCTTTCTCTGCATATTTACTCAAAAAATACTTTTCTGCCTTTTATTTTCGTTCATGTGTCACTTTTTGTTTTCCTCTTGTTTCCCTCTGTTCCCTCACGCTTCCCTCTGTTCCCTCACGCTTCCCTCTGTTCCCTCACGCTTCCCTCTGTTCCCTCGCGCTTCCCTATGTTCCCTCACGCTTCCCTCTATTCCTTCACGCTTTTCCTCTATTCCTTCTTGCTTCCCTCTATTCCCTGTTGCTTACCTCTCTTCCCTCTTGCTTACCTCTCTTCCCTCTTACTTACCTCTCTTCCCTATTGCTTACCTCTCTTCCCTATTGCTTACCTCTCTTCCCTATTGCTTACCTCTCTTCCCTCTTGCTTACCTCTATTTCCCCTCATTTCTCTCTATTCCCTCTCGCTTCCCTCTATTCTCTCTCACTTCCCTCTACAAAGGACCCCTGGATATCGTAGTCGTCGGATTTCGTAATACAGGTCTCCCTCAGCTCGCGTTTTCGCGGGCTTCGAACATTCGTGAATTCCCAGCTGCCCAATCATATTTTAAATATGTCATTACATATGTTATAGAATTGTGGCAGTGGCAGAGTTTGTTTGGAGATAGGACAAGATAGTCCTTCAATATGACACAAATATCAACTCTACGGATTATTTATCTATCACAATTAATCTAATATGGCATAATAAACAATATTAATAACATAGAAACATGACATATACTCTAGAATGAATAAAATACGTCATTAAGTATGTCACGAGTGCTATTGGGTGTATAAGGGCTACTGAAAACATAAGCCGTACATGGTGGTGAAGGCGGCAGCAAAGGTGGTAGAGACTAGAGACGGCGGTGTTGTCAGTTGCCCTATATAACTCCAACAACATTGGAAGAGTTAGGCTCATGCTGTCCTTTTTCTATCGATTAATCGCTTTACTTACTTGCTACACTGTTAATGCTACACTTTTTCGCTGGCAGGCACCATAGCCTTTATCGACTCGTGCTGCTTTAGTATCGTACATATCGTAGAATCACTGAAGAAGGCACAATTCCCACTCTCTCTCTTCCTCCTCCACTTTAGTACTCTGCTACGAGTTCTTTCTTGAATTCTGTAGTCTTTCTCATCTTAACCAAAGGGCTGGCACCAGTACAGTAGTTTACCATGTTTTCATGTGTTTTATGATTGTTCATGGTTCAATAGGTTAAGGAAGTAGTATTGTTAAGCTAAGTAAACGCTATTATTATATTTCCCTACAATATATTTATTTGTGCTCCAAGCATTCACGATTTTTCAACAGTTGCGAGGTTCTTGATCCCCTAACCCTCGGGAATGTCGAGGGAGACCTGTATTCGGTAATCGTAACATTTTTTTTTGTCAAAATATTGGTTCGGTGATCGTCATTTACCTCGGTAATAGGTAATAGTCCTTCGTCCCAAACGCATACGAGCAGCCCCACACACCATCCTACACCATTCACAGTCAGTCTGCTATTGTTTATCAGCGAGTGACTATCACCCCACACGTTCATACGATACATTTCATAATATTCCTTTCTTTTTGTGCTTGCCACTGCTAAATAATCCACAATGGGCCCAAAGAAAGGTGAGAAACACTATAGAATTCAAGAAAGACATCATTGCAAAATATGAAAGTGGAGTACGTGTGGCAGAGCTTGGCAGGCTGTATAAGAAACCCCATACAACCATTGCTTCCATCGTGGCCAAGAAAAAGGAAATCAAGGAAGCTGTTGTTGCGAAAGGTGCAAATATGCTTGCAAAACAGAGA